TATGTACGACTCTAACTCATATAAAACCATGTTCACTTCAAACAACTATGAAACCGCTTTCACTTTAGGCTTGACAGACACTGCAGTTCCAAAATGTCTGTCCGCCAAACAAAATACAAACAAATGACGAAAAACAACATACTCTTCTCCAAAACGTCCACACCTTCATCATCTTCTTCCCTTGAAGTCGTCGCTACTTCAACAGCGACCGGAGATGGCAGATTTCCACCTTCACTCATGTCATCAAGCTTGTGACCTTCATCTTCCCATGTCAAGCCATCCAAAACAACCCATCGCTAAGCTCGGATACTTCCTTCCCCATATATCCATCCAAGAAGATGAAAGAAAGAAGCAGGTGAGAGGATGGGTTGAGCACTGTAGCAAGATGAAAGAAAGAAGCAGGTGAGAGGTGTTTTGGCGGAAAGTTGAGGAGTGAGCTGGGGAGATGTGAGAGAGATGAGAGAAAAGTATTTTTTGGAAAGGGGTAAAAAGGATGGTTAAAAAAATGGGGTATTTATATGGGGTAGGAAATGAGGTAAACTTGGGGTACATATAGCATTTTTGTAAAATCAAAATCCACTTCATCATCTTCAGTCGCAATTCACCGAGAACAGCAGCAACAAGATGATACCGAAGAAAAATAATGCACGATGAACAGGAGAGGTACTATTTGCAGAAATTAATCAAGAGCGGCGATCAAATCTGATGAAGACTGAAGTAATAATACAACAATATTTATTTTTCAGCACCTTCATTTCAGGATTTTTGGTGCTCTGGCCCCTTCTTCTACTCCTATATAAAGGACCATTTGAGAGCTCCGGAAACACAACAATTCGGAGAGAAATCTCCTTCTTCTTTCTTTAGTTCAGTTTGTATTAGTAGTTATTTAATAAATAGTTCTTTCTAGAGCTACTATGTATAAATCAGTACTCCTGTAAAGTTAGTTTCCAGCAATTTCAGTCTTGAGTTCGTCATCTTGTGCACTCCAGTTCCAGAAAAGCCTGAATGCAAGTAAAGTTTTATTCTCTTTTAATTTCGTTTCTCATACTTAAATATTAAACAATGTATGAAGTATTTGTATTCATTTTATTTTCGTGCAAACATGAGTAGCTAATTTAGTTTAGGCTTGGGCAAGATGTAAATTTTACTGTTAATGTTCATATGATAATAATTGGTTAAAACTTTTACTTGGTTAATTTTAGGGTGTTGGGTTGAATGTTCTAATCTGATAAATACATTATATTGGGAAATGAATATTATCACGGGAGTGAAGTTTCATTAAAAATCCCTTTAGTTAATTCACCCACTAAATTGCTACACGGAAGTGTTAAGGAATTTAGAATAATTTGATTTTGTACTTTTTATTGTCTTAATAAAATTACCGCGGGAGCGGAATTAATTTAAGATAGTGTAATCAACTAAGTCGTGGGAACGATTAGAAGATTACCATTTGAAAATCTTTCACACACCTAAAAGTAACCAAGTTAATCAGTTAAATCTTTATTATTATGAACATGAAAATAAAATCACTCTTAGCCCAAGTCTAATTTTCACTATATCATTAATTGTTAAATTATCAAGTATTGTGATTTATTTTATTTCCTAGCAATTTCACATTTATAAAAACAAGATAAAAAAATCTGTTCACTTAGCTCCATTGCAAAATGTTATCAATTTGTGATTAGCTAAAAATCAATCATTAATTCTAGTTCTCTTTTTGAGCCATTCTCTAGCGGAACGATACTCACTTACTCTATACTATATCGTTACAAGCCAATTAAAACATCATTTCCATTCACATTTTTACACCATTTCACACTACACATTTTGGTCTGTCATCAGGGGCCATCACATGGAGCTCCAAGAAGCAAGAAACAATTGCTTTGTCCTCTTCAGAAGCTGAGTATGTTGCAGTAGGTGCAGCAGCAAGGCAGTCTATTTGGCTAAAGAAATTGCTGAAAGATTTGGGATATGATCAAGATGATGCTATAGAGTTGTGGTGTGACAACAAGTCAGCAATTGCTATGACCAAAAATCCTGTCTAAGGACAAAGCACATTGAAGTTCAACACCATTTTATTAGGCAGCTTGTAGCTGAAGGAAAGGTTGTCATGAAATTCTGTGGTACTAATCTTCAGAAAGCTGATTTATTTACTAAAGCCTTGAATCAAGCTAAGCATCAATACTTCATGGAGAAAATAGGAATGAGCAAGCTTGGATCAAGGGGATGTGTTGAAAGCTGACCAAGCTACGTATATGAGATGCATGCAGTTACATGCACACATGGAAAGATATGATCTTTCCTTACTCCTTAGTTTTTTACATTTGATTTAGTCTTTATTGTTAGCTATTTTTATGGAGTCATTAGTGCATTTCCATTCATTTTATTTGAACGTGGAATCATGCCTAGAAGATAGGAAGTTGTTGAGTTTCTTTTGCTTCATGATTTTATCTTGTAATTGCTATAAATAGCTATTGATCTCTACGTATGAGACATAAGAAATATTCTGCAAAACTTCAGCTTGAGTGCAATAGATTTAGAGTATCAATACTTCTCTTTTCCTAGTTTAGAACTACAGGCCTGAGTAATTAACGATTAACAAAGCTGGTCCCTGGCTAGCTTAGGGGATTCATCATAATCGTACTCCGTCCTTGTTACTTGAAATACTATCCTTCATTCTTTAATTCTTGCAACTCTTTGACTTCCACGTTTGTTAATACACGATTTTGACTGTAATTATATTTAATTACGAGTATGTATTAGTAAACATTATAAAAAGTTGATATTTTTAAAATTCACATTGATGTGAATTCAATAACATTCTATACATAATTATTTGATTATGGATATTAGTAGAAAATCGTGGTCAAATTAAGGTCTGTGAATAGTACAAAAATCACAATGTTGCAAGAATTAAAGAACTATATAGTTTCACAAATACTCACATGAAAAAGGAGAGTATGTGTGAAAAATAATCACATACCTGCACTGATGCATAGCAAGTTGGTCCCTAGCGATACTTTTCTTTTTGTAACCTTGAGCTGGAAAAGCCTTGCATTTTGTTTGTGATTTTATTGAACACCAATAAACACCAATAACCTCAATTATCTTCATGTCCTATTAGCCTTAAACACCAATAAAATTAATAATAGGATTATAATCTTTTTATTCTTATAATATGAGTAATAATTGTTCCATATTTTGATTTTTTTCCCTTGCGATTAGATTCACGGAGTATAAAGTACATGCCGCATGTGTATTCAAGTGTAGAAATGTCACCCTCAATTGTGTCCAAATTGTTGCAAATGTGGTCCTCGTCCATATCACAAATGTCACCCCTCAAAAGACAACATTTACAAATTGGGTTAAGGGTTAATTGAACATTGTGGTTATATGAGAAACTCATATTTGACATTAAGGTTTAAAATGAACTAAATCGGACACTATGGTTACTTGTTTATCTGATCATATTGGACATTAAAATTTCAAATGTATCAGATTTAACGTTTTTCTGATCATTTTTGGACACCCACCAAAGATTTTCACCTTTGAAAGCTAAAAGTCCCTTTTCTTTGTGCTTTAGGTACCTAATAAATAAATATAACTTATTTCGTGAATTTAGATTTAGAATATATACATAATTAGATGTTCAAATTAAGAAAATCCATGATAATGTAATAGAATTATTTAATACTCCCTCCGTCCCGGAAACAAGTTCCACTTTCCTTATTTGGATGTCCCAAAAAAAACATCTCATTTCCTTAATTGACAAATTATCTACACAAAAAAGTGCAAAACAATGTCAAAGAATGCAAAACAGTGCCAAATAGTGTCGAAACAGTGCTAAACAACGTCAAAACAGTAAAATTTACCCCTCAATAACTTTATTTACTTAAAATGTGTGAAAGTCACCTCGGGAACTTGTTTCCGGGACAGAAGTAGTATTGTTTAATCAATTTAACAAATCGATATTTTTTAAAGTTCCATATAATCGTATGAATGAAAAGTCCTAAATATATTTTTAAATTGTTGAATATAAGAAGTTATATTAATTACAATCAAATTATAAATTATATATGAAACCTCAAATTAAGTATTCCAAAGTGATATAAGAAATTAAATTAGTTTAATTTCACTAAAAGGAAAGGAAATATATACTAACGATTTTTATTAAAGGAAGAAGAGAATAATAAGTGAGTGTAAAAAAACTATGAATTACGAAATTCTAGTGTCCAACTTAAGATGCATATGCAATCATAATGTCCAATTTGATCCATTTGAAACCTTAGTATCCAATATGAGATTATCATATAACCATAGTATCCAATTTGAGCCTTATCCCTTTACAAATATGGACATCTTTTACTAGAAAACAATTGTTTAGAAAGTTTTCAAATAATTTCGGTATAATTTGTGAAATGGAAATATTTATAATGTTATTGAATTCCTTTGTTCTTAAATAAATGCAACAGTCAACATTTCACACTTGCCGAGACACAACTTTGACCACTAATATAAATGATTTTGTATTAGTAAAAAATTTAAAAAATTAGATTATGAAAATTTACAATGAGACAAGTTTAACAATATTTTTTTCATAAAATAATATTATTACATTAATAAATAAAACAGAATCAAAGTAGAACATGTGAATAGTGTAAAAGTCAAAGTGTTGCATTTTTTTAAGAATGGAGGTAATATATTTTTTTTTCTAGAGAGTTTCCATCGTTAATACTTCGTAGGTCTCGCTCTTCCATAAGGGTATATGGATAGGAGGATGTACAAACATATATCTCCCGTGTTCCCAATGGAAAGGTATCCTCAAAAGCTCATGCAGGCATGGAGAAGCGAACCAAATAAAGCACTGATTATAAACCTACAGGCCAGGAAATCTCAGTTCCCTTTAAATTATTCGGATTCTTGAAGTCCATTTCAAACATACGTAGTACGTAGTATATAGTTTCCAATAAGAGGAAACGTATTTTATCTATTCACATACCCTTGTATGTATTTATATATAAGCAGTAAGCCTATACTATACGGCTCTTTATTCATTGATCCAGGATTGGCTTCAAGCTAGCTACATAGTAATTAAAGATGACGATAAAACGCCAGACATGCAATATTTTTGTTTGTCTTATGGTCGTGGTTATTGACATCACTGCCGGAATACTCGGTATTGAAGCTGAGGTAGCTCAGAGTAAGGTAATAATTAAATACGGAATGTATAATTAATGCATGCATGTATATACTCCGTATATAATACGTAGTACTACATAACATAGAAATATATTGCGTTGCTCTCAATACTCAATAGGATAAAATTCTAAAATAGAACATTCATGTTTTTATTCTCTAAATATGAGTCATTTTCGTCAAGTTTGGAAAAAATTGTCATGTTTAAAACCTGGTAATACCAAACTTGACAGAAATTACTACTATTTAGGTAAAAAACATGACAATTCAATTTCGGAATTTCAAAACCTTTTACTCTTATTTAAGGAGTTTTCCCTATATAATACTACCTCTGTTTTCACATATTCTACTTTGAATCTATTTTATTTATTAATGTATTAAAATTGATTTTTTTAAATAATTTTGTTAAATTCTTCTCATTCTAAATTTTCAAAATCTGAATTTTAAATTTTTTTACTAATAAAGAATGAAAGATATTAAAGGTCAAACTTGTGTGTTGGCAAACGGGAAATGTTGACTGTTGCAATTAAAAGAGAACGGAGGAAGTACATTATTATGTCTTGTAAATTCATTAATCATATACAAAGCAATAAAGTTTGATAAATCATTGGTACTCCCTTTCTCCCATACACTACAAAAAACACAGAATTGGCAGAGATTTTGGCAGGGATTTGAAAAAAATCATGAAGGATTTGGCAGGGAAATGCCAAATCCATGCATAAAACACTTTGGCACGAGCTATTTTGCACAAAATAATCATTAAATCCGTGCAAAATCCGTGTCAATCCCGTGATTTTTTTGTAGTGATAAAATTTGGTTTACTATGACTTAATTGTATCTAGAACAATAAAGTACAAATCGTATTCATGAAGTTTCTGTAGAAAAGATGAAAATAATTTGAATCACATATTCCTTACCTAAATCGAATTGGCAAAATTATATTTACTCAACTATAACAAGTCAACAACAACAACATCCAAGCTTTAATCTCAAAAGAATTTGAGGTCGGTTAACATGAATCGATCCATGAGAGAATTTGGTAAAATTTATGAGACCAAGGGAATATTAATTAGTCTATTAGAGGGTTGTATGAAATACTTCATAATATATATATGAACTATGCAATAATTAAGATTTTGTGTTCCATCTTAAATAGTGTATATATTTGTTAGTTTGTAATTTTATACGTGGTCTATGGAAGATGACTTGACAGTATGTATGTACGTGCAGGTAAGCCTGTTAAAGGTGTGGATATTTGAATGTAGATATCCTAGCTATGAAGCTTTTAAGCTCGGCTTGGCTGCAACCGCACTTCTGGTTCTGGCACACGCCATCTCAAACTTGCTGGGCGGCTGCGGCTTTTGCATCCGTTCAAAGGAAGAGCTCCACAAATCTTCTTCTAACAAGCAGCTTGCTTTTGCTTCCCTTATCATTCAATGGTACTACATTTGCTTTTTCTTTTGAGAAAATTCACTAAATACACTAAAATGAAGATTCATATACTGAAATGGTGATCAACATTGACCAATGATACCTTTTAATACAAAATTATTTAAATTATGAAAATTATATGAACTTATTCTTTATTGAAAAATCTTTCATAAAAGTATAAAATTTATAAATTACTCACAAATATAATACCTAAAATCATTGTCTAAACTTTAACATCATTGACAAAGAAAAGTCAAATTGGCCAATCTTTTTGGGACGGAGGTAGTATATGATTAGCTAGCTATCATTGTGTCATTTCCAAAGTCAGAATCACCCACTCGATCTTATTTTGGAAGTTTTAAGGGAAAGCTGTCAAATCAGTCCACGTGCTATTATGAAAAAGTCAATTGAGTACATGTACTATTTTTTCAATCAATTAAGTCCATTAAATGTCAAATTTTCACCAATTTTACTATTTAACCGGTAAACGGCCGGTGGCCCTTATATTTGCTGATGTGGATTCCACTTCGCTATTTTGTACAATTTTTTTTCTTTTTTGCTTTTTTTAAGGTAGATTCTATGGTATCCATAAGGTATCATACCTTTGTCCACATGGACCAATGAAAATGTAGCAATTAAATTATCTAAATCTAAATCAAAAATAATAAAGTGATGTGATCCAATCAAATAAATGGTAGGTACGGTAGCCCATTTTTAAAAGAGTATCGGAGTTGTCACCTTTTTCTTCAATTTTTTCTCTTGTTCGTCCTTACTGACTCTACGCTCTGCAACTCCGATCCCCCTGCAACTCAACCACTCTTCTTCTTCTTCTTCCCTACTGCTTCTAACCGACATCCTTACCCAACCTCCTCCTCCCTTCATTCTTGCCCAGTAGTTCAGCCCCCATCTTGTTTCCCTTTTCTTTCTTTTCCCCTTCTTCACATCTCCAATCTACTTCTTTTACAGTTCTACCTCACCCAACCTTCTATCCTCTCATCTCTCACGGCTAGAGAGTACTAGAGAAGGCGAATTTGGCAATCCGAAGGCGACCCCTGCTCTTTTTCAATGACAACAAGCTGACTGCGACGGCGGCGGCATAACTCGACGGCAGCGGCAGAACTCAACGTCTGCGGCGGAGCTCGACCGAGAGCAGCGATAGAGCGGACAGTGGTAGAAAGATGGAAAGCTAGAGGGGGAAGGAAGAAAGAAGAGGAGAGTATAAAGCAAGGTTTTAAATAGTCACAGTGCCGGTCCTGCCTAAACTCAGTCCTGAGTCGAGCTTCATAAAATAGGCCTCATACATAGTGTTTGTCAATCATATAGATTCACTAAAATTGAATGATTAAATATCACAAAAACGCAATCTTTAAATAAAGGTCTTACATTATAACAAAATGATATTGAATGTATTAAATAACTAATTAAGTAGAACTCGTCGAACAGTTTTAGACGCAAAAGTATTAATGAACTCTGCATAATCTATATCATCAATAAATTCCTTCTCAATTGATAACAAAGTGATTAATTGGGAAGTAAGAATTCCATAATTTCAATATTGATAACCTAAATATAAAAAACAAAAATCAACTGGAGTTTAAAAAAAATTAAATTACCTCATTAGGCATGACAAATCAGTTATAGAAATATAGATCTCATTAACATTTAGCAAGTCATACAAAGTTCAGAAATTTTGAAAATACAAAAAAAAAAAACTAAACTAAATTAATAAAAGTAAAAGAGTAGGGAAAGTGAGTGGAAGTCATTTAGCCATCAAATAATAAAGTTATAAAGGTTATAATACTCATTACTCCATTACTGATTACTCTGTAGACCGTAGGTTATACAGTGCTTATACTTATAAAGCTAAACTGCAATTCTGCAAACGATTGAAACGAATACAAAATAAAATAATAATAATAATAATAATAATAATAATAATAATAATAATAATAATAATAATAATAATAATAATAATAATAATAATAATAATAATAATAATAATAATAATAATAATAAACTTAGCAGCTTTGTTGTTTGCGGCTTACCTGCGGGCTGCGTACGGCAATTAGCAGAGATTCCAGGGAACTGAGAAGCCGGCCGGCGGCCAGATAGCAATTGCAGAACAGTAGAACACCTATTCGGCTCTTCTGTTGAAGTCTCAATCGAAGATGCCACTCGCCAGAACTCAGAAGGGTCTCCCGTCGCCCGTCTCCTTCGGTCCTTGCTTCTTCGCAAGTTAGAACTTAGAAGAAACGCAGCTTACAGGGTTCTAATTTTTATGGGCCTAATCGGAAAATACACAGGTATAATAGTTATGTTTCAAAATTTATGGGCCCTAAAATTTTCCTTTTTTTTGGGGGCCCTGAGGCTTGGGCCTCTCCAGCCTAGCTAACTATAGGCACGGCCCTAAATAGCCGTAGCGGCAGCGGTAGCGGTAGTGGTCATCGCGGTAGCGGCCTGTAGCCGACTGTAGCGGTTGCAACGGTGTGAAATATTTTCAATTGCGCAAAACATAAATGTATTTTTTCACATCATTCACACAACATTTAATTTTGAATTTCACTCCATGCATCACCATTAATGTATTTTTTCACGTCATTCACACAACATTTACACATTTACACATCAAACAGTTCGTGATGTATTGCCGGAAATGTCAATAGCGGGTTGTAGCGGGCTGTAGCCGGCGGCGTAACGGATTTTTCCCATGATTTGGAAATCACACATGAATAGGTGGCCGTAGCGGTAGCGGCCCCTACCGCGACCGCTATATAGCGGCCACTATAGCGGTAGCGGCCCCTACCGCGACCGCTATATAGCGGCCACTATAGCGGTAGCGGGGCGCTATTTCAAACCATGGTATAAAGAAAGAAAAGAGAAGAGAAACAAGAAAAAGGAATTTGAAGGAGAGTTGCAGGAATGGGAGTATGAAGACGAAGAAGAAGAAAGAATAAAAAATAGGAAAAAGATAATTTAATGCCATAAGGATGGCCACATAAGCGCTGACGTGAAAAAAAGTCACGTGGATGATCCACATAGGCCTATAACCGGGAAATGGATCAAATACTATTGAAAAGGCAAATTTGATCATTTTTTGACTTTGGTGGACTTAATTGATTGAAAAAATAGTACTCCCTCCGTCCCTTATTAAACATTTCCAAATAGGTTTAGCACACAGTTTGTGATGGAGAGTTGTGCAGAGGAGAGCGAAATTTGTAAGAATTGCTGTGCACGGAGTAATAAATTTTGTGTTAAATTAGAAATTTAGTAGAGTTTTTTCCTTAAGAGGGCTATTTTGTAATCTTATTTCCCATAATAGGGTACTTTTAAACTTAATTCCCAAATAGGGGTGTTTTTTTGCCATGTCATCAAGCTAGAAGCACCATGTCACTTACTCGCCACGTCACACACCATGTCATCACATTTAAGGGTTTCTCAAAAGGTAGATTATATGGTACACATAAGGTATCATACTTTGTTCACATGGACCAATGAGAATGTAGCAGTTGAAGGTAGAATGTCCCTTATTTAAATCTAAATTAAAAATGATAAAGTAATGTGGTCCAATCAAATGAATGATAGGTACAGACGGTACCCCATATTTTAGAAAGGTACCAGAGTTGTCACCTTCTCAAAATAATATAGATACTACAAGGGATGGAACCCGCAACCTCACAGATGCAAGGCAACTCTCCCCCATGGAAGCCAATGGACTGCTATGCTTCATTGTTACATGTGATCTTCTACTCAAATTTTAATCACATCTCCTTCTCGTCTCTTTAGTGATACCTTCCCCAAAAATGAAAACTTCTTTAAAATTTATAATAAAAAACTTAAATTGCGATATGTAACTAAAACACAAATTTAAAATAACTCAAACCCAAATAAAATAAAAATAAGTAAACCTCTTGAAAAAACTAGATTTTCTGTTTTCAAAATTAATAATATTACATTTGAAAATGAAAATGATAAATAAATGTGAATAGTGTAAAAGTCAAAGTGTTGCATTTATTTAAAAACTGAGGAAGTATGCGTTTTTATATTTACACACACATATATAATCTTTTTAATGAAGTTTACTTATTATCGTATTTATTTAGTTTTGAGTTATTTTGAATTATTTTTTAGTTACATAGCACAATTATTTTATATAATAACTTAATTTGCAATATGTAACTAAAAAATAATTTAAATTAACTCAAAACTAAATAAATAAGTAAACTTCTTAAAAAAATTCTATTTCCAAAATTAATAATTTTATATTTGAAAATGAAAATGATAAAAAAAAATAGTGCATAATATGTGTCTTGATATGTACACACACATACATATATTACTAATCTGTTCAGGTGCGCCTGAATCTGTCATGAAAAAATTCAATCCGAAATCCAGTTAATATTATTAATTTTGAAAATGGAAAATTTATTTTTTCGATAAGTTTACTTATTTTTATTTTATTTGGTTTTGAGTTATTTTAAATTATTTTTTAGTTACATATTGCAAATTAAGTTATTTATTATAAACTTTAATTACTTTTTCATCTTTTTAATTGAATACCTCAAATTATGATTTTAATTATATTTTAGTTATTTGGGGCACCAAGTATATCACTAAAGAAACAAGAGTCATATCTTATTCAAATATAATTAGATGAAACCGTGGTCAAACAAGGAGTAATAGTTCAATGGTTTGCTTGGGTTTAGGAGATTCCCATTAGTTTTGAGGTATGTGGTTCAATCCCCGATTTTGACTCCTTTTTTATAAGGAGTATTTTGCAACACAATGTGATGACATGGGGTGTGTGACGTGGCGAGTAAGTGCATGACATGGCGCCTCTAGCTTGATGACATGGCAAAAAAACACCCCTATTTGGGAATTAAGTTTAAAAGTACCCTATTATGGGAAATAAGATTACAAAATACCCCTCATAGGGAAAAAACTCAAATTTAGTAACATAAGTTGCAAGACTATTAATTAAATCAATAAATGTTCTTTCATATTCTTATTAATGTCGTCTCTTATTAAAATACATGGTAATAATCAATTTTGGTGTTGTATAATTATTCAGGATTGTGCTGGCTATATCATTCTCAATATTGATAATGGGAGTATTAGGAAACTCGAGGTCAAGAAAAACTTGTGGGATTTCACGTGAACATTACTTTTCAGTGGGAGGGATATTGTGCTTTATTCATGCACTCTTCTCCCTTTCCTATTACATCGCTGCTACTGCAGCCGCGGTGGCGCCGCCACAAGAGGTGGAAAAGAATATTAAGCTCACTCAACAAGTTGGCCACGCCTAGCCGCAGCGAAATTGGAGATCAAGAAAAACTGAAAACTCACAACAATTCTGACTAGATAAGGTTTTCCAAGTTCTAATACATACATCTTGTGATTTGTATGTTTTTATTCATCTTGTGATTTAATATGACAAGAAATATTTGTCATCTACCATCTCCAATTTCTTCTTAAATCTGCATCCCGAAATTTAATTGGTCTTCATCATCGAAATTTGTTGAATGGCTTATCTAAACAAATCCATCATCCACAAGGAATTCGTTGTCATCGTCAATAATTTGGGAAAGCAAATTTGACATATACGTAGTATATGTGTGTATGTGTGCATTTGCATGTTTTCTCCTATCTTTGTACAAACTACTTCTACTCCCTTTGTTTCGTATCTTTCTTCTATTTTACCTTTTTTGTTCGTCTCACCAAGTTTGTCATCATGTCATGTATTTCGTACTGCATTTGATAGTATTTGGATGACTACAATTTAATCACCATCAAACAATTTAACTTGTCTTAATAATGGCAAAAGGCTTCAAAGGCTTAAGACCTTATCATGCCGCCTTGCAACACCTTGCGCCTTTTATAACATTGGTACTGGCTAAGGGTCGTAAGGGATAATTTATTCTTTGCTTCTCTGATTAGTTCTTTAGTTGTACTTTCTAGAATTAGTACACTTTTTCTGGCCGCCACTTGAAATGATTTTGTCATTATGAATGGCCTTGAGCCTTTGAAGCCTAGGCGGGGGAAAGGCATCAAAAGAGTTTTAGTTTTATAGTAAACGTTTTATTTTTCATAGAGGTATTAGTAAATATATTCATGTATTATTATTTAGATAAATATTATCCAAAAGCATCATACTTTTACAAATGCACACAAAAATAAGCTTCTAAAGTTCTAAAATCATAAAACTGTGTTATATATGCACCTATTGTACAAAAGGAAACAATAATTAAATAGATCAATGATAAACTAACAATTGCATGCAATGGATAACAACAACAATAATAATCGTAATAATAATAATGACGTTGGTAATGAACAGAAATAATGCTACCTTCGTCCTAAAGCATTTTGCAAAGTCAATGGTTTTTATCAATCGATGTTAAAGTTAAATCCTGCTATTGATAGTTAATTCAATTTCAATAATTATAATTTACATATTCAGAAACTACATAAAAATCTCTATTACGTCGCGAAATCCAAATAAATATTTAATTAATTAAGAATTGATATCCTAATTAAAAGAGAAATGAATTTGTTTGATTCAAAAAAATCAACTTTGCAACTTAATTTGGAATGGAGGGAATCCATGCTCAAAGCTAAGATAAATCCTACATTTCTACCGTGTATAGTATGCAGCTTCATTCCTAGAACTTCTTGTAGGAATTCCCACACCGGAAGTAAGGATTCCTACTTCTACTTCTACAAAGGCCAGACAGAAATTAAAGTCTCAGGCCTATGCATTCAATGCATGATATCTGGCTTTGATGGGCCCAATCAATTCTCCTGATATGGGTTAAAACAACATCAAATTTTAGTTGTAGTGAATTGGGCCGCCTTTATTCACACATTGTATGAAGGTAAGGTGTTTTTGGGCCGCCCAAGGTCTAGGCCCGCATACTCGGCGCCTTATGAAGCCTTTTAGAACATTACCTTAGCCGCACAAAATAAGGCTGGGTAAGAAAAAGGTGCACGAAATTGTAAAGAAGAACAGAATTATGAAATTAAATGTCCATCACTTGTAAGCTTGATGAATCTCCATCACTTGTAAGCTTGATGAATTCCCATGGTGGTTCACCCTTTGATTTCATTTTTAGTTTAGCTAAAGCAGAAGTTAAGGGCCAGTTTTCGAGAAAACTGGAAAACAGGAAACGTGTTTACCAAAGAAAATTGCTGGAAAACTGGAGAAAGGAAAACAGAAAAACGTGTTTCCCAAATCGTTTTCCAAAATGAAAAAAATGAGACATGTCTCTCTTTTCCTTAATGATTTGGAGAAGTGACTTTTACTAGTTTTTCAAATTTGGAAAACGCAGATGCTACAGTGCCGCTGCAATGAATTTACATACTTACATCTAGTGGTGAGTCCGGTCCCGCTCCGATGTCGATTCCATTCCGGTACCTCCATTCTCGTACCTTACCCCTTACCCCTACCCTACCCACCCAACCCCCACCCTGCGTACCCCTTTTCCTTACAATGACCCTACCCCAACCCCCCACCACATGCCCCTACCTCGGCCCCACCCCGATCCACCCTACCCTAACCGCCACCCCTACCACCTCGACCCCACCCTGATCCACCCTACCCTACCCTATCCCCACCCCTCGAATATTACCCCTTACCCCTACCCACATGTCCCTTACCTCGGCCCCACTGTACCGCCATCCTACCCCCACCCTTGTACCGCCATCCTACCCCCACCCTTGTACCGCCATCCCACCCCCACCCTAGTGCCATCCTACCCCCCACCCTACCCTTCCCCTACCTTGGCCCCACCCTGATCCTGGCCCCATCCCTACCACCATCCTACCCTACCCCTACCTTACCCATACCCCAACCCTACCCACTACCCCCACCCTTACCCCTAACCACGACCCTAACTTACCCACAACCCCTAGACCTTACCACCCCACCCTCTACCATACCCCTTACCCCACCCCCATCCCACTCATACCCTACCCCTACCTTACCCATAGGTGGGTATGAAGGGTTGTAGGGGAGTAGGGGTAGTGATGAAATGGTTAGCAACACAAGAGGGGGGGGGGGGTGAATTGTGTGTGTGTGGAACCGTGATAGTTTTTCGCCAAGTTCTAGTGTGGGGTAAAGGGAATTGCGAAATAGTAAAGTGCACAAGGATTTAACGAGAAAAAATCCCTTAGCTCAAAGTCTTAAAAAAAACTTCGACCTCCCTCGGAGGAATTTTAACAACTTCACAAAAAATTCTTTGAATGATTACAAGGGAAATTCTCCTAGTCTACCCTTGAGCCACCCCAACTCTATCCTCTCTAGGAAGAGTTATGCTTCTCTACCTTGCGGGTAGATAGCCTCTCAGCTTTACAACAAAACTATCACAACACATGTTACACAACCCGAGGAAGCTACACTTAGCTCGTCCTCAATAACTCGATTACAATATAAGAAGAGAATAAGAACTCTGTCTACAACTCCGGGAGCAGTTTCAGGTGCCTTGGACTTAGTATATTTCTCGAGTATGTCTCTTAATATTTCTCTGGTCAAGCACCCGCATTTTCTTTCTGGATGCTCGATTATATAGGCCGCTTGAGATGAGTCCGTTGGAGCTTTCCTTGTGTAAATGATTCTTGCCTTGTTGTATTTTGAAAATCTTTCCATCTTGAGAGCTAGATACTTATCCGTGAATAAAGATTGATTTGCTCAAGAATAATTACTACCAAAATATTTTATTCACTTAACATGATTAGGCATGCAATTGGATCATACGAATAAGTAGTCAACATCCCCATTCAAAAATGATCGACTATTTAAGAATTCAAACATGGATGGAAGTTTAATTGGTATGGTAAGAAATAATTATTTCAAAAAGCAAAGCCACCTACGTTCAGCTCCCATAAAGCAAGGAATTCAATTCATTAATGCTATGGTCAATCAAATGAATCCACCAAAACTATTTCATTTAATATACTATTCTCCGTTCTATAATTCTTGCAACAGTTTGACTTTCACGTTTGCCAATGCACAACTTTGACTGTAATTATATTTAATTATGCATTAGTAAACATTATAAAAAGTTGATATTTTGGAAATTCACATTGATTAGAGTTCAATAACATTTTATACGTAATAATTTGATTATGTATATTAGTAGAAAATTATGGTCAAAGTAAGATCTGTGATTAGTGTAAAAATCACAATGTTGCAAGAATCATAAAATGGAGGAAGTATAAAGTAAGAAGACCTTTTATATATCAAATTCAAATACTATGGTCAACTAATTTAAAGATAGCAAGAGAAATTTCCATAAAGTAAAAAGCACAATTACCTTTTAAAAAGTTAGAAGCACAATTATGTATATATTATTTGGTCATGTAAAAAGGCACTCATATTACTTTCAATAAAGTAATAAGCTTTACTTTCCATAAAATAATATACCACTCAAATAAGCACTCATATTAAGAAAAATACGTATATATTCTTAGAAGAATATTCTTGACAAAGTATAAGCACTCATATAAGGAAAGCACATTAATCAATTTAATTAATCCGTAGAACTAGAAATGGTCTTGTATTTGTCCACCTGCAGGGTTAGTCAACAACACAATAATAATGTCCATTTTGACCTGAGGATAGTTCTGCCCGCCGTTCCACCTGCATGGTTAGTTATGGGTTCAGGTCTACGCTTGTTCCAAAGCACGACTTATCTTCCTTTCTTGTAATCACTTATAGACCAAAAGTAGCACTTGTCGTTTGTCATCAACAAAACAATATGTTCCAACAGGCAGAGTGTAAGATCGTGATAAGGGTAGGGATAGTGGTCAAGGGTGTGGAATTGGGTGTAAGGTGTAGGGTGGGGGTACGAGGTATAGGCGCGGGGTAGGGGTTAGAGGTATGGGTACACGTACGAGGTGATCGACCCCTCATATTATATTATGTATTTGTGTTCATGAATGTTTGTGTGTCTATATATGTATAAGGTTATTTTGGATATTTTAATGTTAGACGGTGTATTAAACCTTTTGAAGTAAACATGATCTTACAACATTGCTTATTTTATGCGCCGCTTATTAACGTGGGTCCTAATAAGCATCATTTAGTAACCCGTGAAGTAAACGTGTCCTCAGTCTTCTGGATGATAAATAGAGCACTTCTCGTTCATTTATAACACAAGGGTAGCATAAAACTCAAACTTAAAAGTTCAAAGTTAATAAGAGTTACAAATTCTTGTGAAATCATTTCCTCTTAATTTCTCTCTTCCACCCAGGATCACATAATTTCAAAATTCTTAAACCTCTTTTCTTCTAACATACTTCGTGTAATCGTGTTGATTGAGTTGAGAGACAATAGGAATATAATGGCCGACAAAGAAAAAAGGATAAATATTATTTTAGGCATGGCAATGGGTCGGGTAGGTACTGCAAGACCCAGACCAGCCCCATGACTTCATTGGGTGGACCCGCCCCGCCTCGTGACCTGCACGGGTCAAAACTTGTTGACCCATGACCCGCCCCATGCGGGGCGGGCGGGGCGGGTCCGCCCCGCCCTGCCGTAATCTAATTAGCTATTACTAGTATGTATTTTTATTTGTGGGATGTTGTTACCAATTGAATTTACATAAATCTTATCTCTAGATAATTATTAAAAAATAATTTATTAAATCAAATTCACAATACGCTAAAAATTCAAAAATTAAGAAAAATATACTTAGGCTTGAATAGTTAATCTATATAATTCATTAATAATGGAATATATGTATTAAAATGCTATATATAAAGAAGACATTGATAATTTGTAGCTCATCTCATTCAAATATAAATATTAATATATTATAAGATCA